CCAGAAATAAAACCACACATCTATGGACAGCTAATCTTCGACAAAGGAGCTGAGGGCATACAATGGAGAAAAGAAAGTCTTTTCAACAAATGGTGCTGGGAAAACTGGAAAGCCACATGTAAAAGAATGAAAATTGACCATTCTTTTTCACCATTCACCAAAATAAACTCAAAATGGATCAAAGACCTAAAGCTGAGACCTGAAACCATAAGGCTTCTAGAAGAAAATGTAGGCAGTACACTCTTTGACATCAGTATTAAAAGGATCTTTTCGGACACCATGTCTTCTCAGACAAGGGAAACAACAGAAAGAATAAACAAATGGGACTTCATCAGACTAAAGAGCTTCTTCAAGGCAAAGGAAAACAGGATTGAAACAAAAAAACAACCCACAAACTGGGAAAAAATATTTGCAAGTAATACATCTGACAAAGGCTTAATATCCATAATATATAAAGAACTCACACAACTCAACAACAAAAAATCAAACAAACCGATCAAAAAATGGGCAGGAGACATGAACAGACATTTCTCCAAAGAAGATATACGGATGGCCAATAGGCACATGAAAAGATGTTCATCATCACTGATCATCAGTGAAATGCAAATCAAAACTACACTAAGATATCACCTTATACCCATTAGAATGACAAAAATAACTAAAACAAATAGTAACAAATGTTGGAGAGGTTGTGGAGAAAAAGGAACCCTCATACGCTGCTGGTGGGAATGCAAACTGGTGCAGCCACTATTGAAAACAGTATGGAGATTCCTCAAAAAATTAAAAATAGAACTACCATACGATCTAGCTATCCCACTACAGGGTATCTATCCAAAGAGCTTGAAGTCAGCAATTCCAAAAGTCCCATGTACCCCAATCTTCATTGCAGCATTATTTACAATAGCCAAGACATGGAAGCAACCTAAGCGCCCATCAACAGATGATTGGATAAAGAAGATGTGGTATATATATACAATGGAATACTACTCAGCCATAAAAAAGAACAAAATAGTCCCATTTGAAGCAACATGGATGGACCTTGAGGGAATTATGTTAAGTGAAATGAGCCAGACAGAGAAGGACGATCTCTGTATGACTCCATTCATATGAGGAATTTAAACATGTAGACAGAGAGAACAGATTAGTGGCTACTAGGGGAAAGGGGGGGTGGGGGGGTGGGTACAAAAGGTGAAGGGTTGCACCTACAACATGACTGACAGACAATAACGTACAACTGAAATTTCACAAGACTGTAACCTATCATTAACTCAATTAAAAAAAAAACAACTTATTTTGAGATAAATTTAAACTTACAGAAAAGTTGCAAGAACAGTACAAAGAATCCCTGTATAGCCTTCACTGAGATTTACTGCATTCCTTTTTAAAATTACTTGCATATTATGGACATCTTTTCATGTCCACAGACACCATCATCATCATGGCCAACATTCATTGCTGGCTAGGTGAGCCCTTTACTCACCGTGACTTCTGTTATCCCCACAACCACCACCTGAGATAAATACTATTATTATTCACTTTTTACATATGAATAAATTAGGCCTTAGTTAGGTGCTTCCAGTGTTTTACCTTACAATCCTTAGTTAAAGGTCTTTGATCCCTACCTTTGTGCACCTATTCCTTAGGTTTTTGATGCCATCTCTAAATAAGATTATCCACAAAATCCCCCAAACCCACTGACAGAGCAGAAAGGAAGAACACGATCATCACAGAACTTTGAACCTGGGTCCCATGACTGGGCCACGTCATGGCCCATGATGCACAATGACTAATTATATATTTTAATGACTAATCATAATTTAATGACCTGGTAAATACCCTGACAACATATTTTTATGATTCAGAATTACTTCCTTAGATGTAAATATACAAAATATACTCTACTCTCAATAATCCTATTGGATATTTCTATGTATTAAAATATATATGCACCCCATGTTCATAGCAGTATTATTCACAACAGCCAAAACATGGAAGCAACTCTAGCGCCCATTGACAGATGAATTGGTAAGCAAAATGTAGCATTGGGGCAGAAAAATTTTCCTTCTACCCTTCTAGGGTCTTTGGCTGATCTAATAATTAAGTTGACATAAGACAGATTAACAGGAGAAAAATTTAATTTCATATGTATGGGGGCCCCATAGAAACATGAGACACAAAAGCTGTCAGGCAATTGAGGGTTATATGCTCTCCTGACCTAAGGAGTGGAATAAGGGCCTGGGCCTTCAAGGGGAGAAAGGCAATTCACAGGAAGACAAGAAGAGAACATGTTTGGTAATCGGTAATTGCTCTCTTTCTGGGCCAGGCCCCCTATTTAAACTCTTTCAGGCAGTTGAGGGAGAGGTAAAAGATTTTGTTGAATCTGCTGGGTCTTGATTGCTTTTAGCTCAAAATAATCCACGTGCCAAAGTGGCACATATTTTGCTCCCATTCAGTGGTAGATGCATATGCGTACAATGGAATATTACTCAGCCTTTAAGAGGAAGGAAATTCTAACATTGTGCTAAGAAAAATAAGCCAGTCATAAAAAGATAAATACTATATGACTCCATTTATATAAGATCTCTAGAGTAGTCAAATTCACAGAGACAGAAAGTAGAATGGTGGCTGCCAGGGGCTGGGGGAAGGGCAGAATGGAGAGGTATTACTTAATGGGGACAGAGTTTCATCTTTTTGTATGATGAAAAGACTTCTGGAGATTGGTACACAACAATGTGAACGCACTTAATGCCACTGAACTATACACTTAAAAAAGATTAAGATGGTAGATTTTATGTTATTTATATTTTGCCACAATTAAAATTTGGTTGAGTTCGTGCACTCTGCTTTGGTGGTCCGGGGTTTGCAGGTTCGGATCTTGCGTGTGGACATAGCACCATGCCTCAGGCTACACTGTGGTGGCGTCCCACATAAAATGGAGGAAGACTGGCACAGATGTTAGCCCAGCGACAATCTTCCTCACAAAAATAAAAATAAAAAAATAAATTTTAAACACATGCAGTAGGTACTTCATATTGAATACTAAAGTATGAGGAATGAGCCTCAGAAACAGTGACTGATGCCTCTGAGAGACATTGTACGACGCTCCAAAGAGGTGCCTGTGAGCTGAAACAGTGCAGGTCGCAGTTGGCAAGGGGGCATCTCTGCAAAGGGCCCACAGACCATATCCGCCTGGTGTGGAGGCCTCACCATTTCCCACTGGAGAGAGGAAGCCTAGGGCCCCGAAGCCAGTGGACCTATCATCCCTCCAACTTCTCCTTGCAGGCTTCCTGTGTCAACCGTCACCCTGCGGCTGCTTACTCCTGCCCCCTGACCAGAGTTCTCCTGCCTCTGAGTGCAGCATTAGTTCCTTCACTCCGAGGTTGAAATGACAGAATCAGAGACCACTTGTTGAATGCATCCTGTAAGCCCTGCACAGAGCGCTTTACAGACATTACTTCTAATCACGATTTTCAGGGTGAGCCTCCGAAAGAGGTTCTGTGATTGTCGGCTTACTCATGAGGAGACTGAAGTCCCTAAAGGTTAAGTACCTTATTCAAAGATATACACTAAGGAGCTAAATTCTTTCCATTATACCCTGTGGCCTCTAAGATGATTAAGAAAAAATAGTAAGATCCCTGTAGAAGCTAGCATATTTTTAAAGCCCCCATGAGGTCTCAGAGGCAAAAATGTACCGAATCTAACAACTCAGGGTTGCCCCCAAACAGTAATTGCTAATATTGATTGAGCACTTAGTACAAGTCAGGAACTTGGGTAAACTCGGAACATTACCATGTTAAATACATCCAACCACCCAGAGTGTAAGTGTAACAGTGCTGGCACACTAGGAAAGGCTCAGCAATGGTCAGTTGCTTCAGGATGGAGGGCTGACATTTCTTTCACACTCAAATATGCGATTCTCAAGATCAACGCCAATTCTGAATCGGCTAACTGCTTTATTTTTTAAGCATCGGAAACAGATTTCTGGATGATTTTAAGGCAGCATTTGGTCCGAACTCTAATTCAATGCTGTCGCTGTTTTCCAGGATACTAACCTTAAAAACATTGGAAGATATACCAGCAACAGAATAAGCCACTGAGAATATGTGTACTTGTAGTTGTAAGGCATTTATTCAGTCATTCAACAAATAGTCTTGAGTGCCTTCTGTTTGCCAGCCAAATCCTCCGTTTCCCCTCTTCCCCTCAAAAAACAAAACCAAACCTACATCCAGCTTTCAAGAGGGCTCAAGTGGTCACCTGGCTCTGGATCCTTTACAGTAAGTACTACAGTATTGACCTCGAAAATTTTATTCTTACAAATGGAATCTCATGAATATTTACTAAATATTCATGGTTCCAGTTGAAAAAGCCCACTTTTTTTTTTAACGTGCTATTCTCCCTTTGTGATGACCTTATAAGAGAACTTTGTGTCTTTAAATCATATTACAAGACTTAATTTTCCTCCCATCCCTGTTCCCAGTCTTTTCATTCCTATTCCTTTGGTGAGACTGGGCAACCACTACCAGTTTCTGTCTTTCTGGAGATACTTTATGCCTATACAAGCTCACATGTATCTGTACCAACGTGGGTCTTTCAAAAAGAAAAAAAAAAAAAGGCAAACAATGGCATAGCCACACCCATCTTCCTGCACTTCGCTTTCTTTCACTAAATATAACTCGGAGTTGGAAAAGATAAGTCTCTGTGGACATGAGTCAGTTTGAGGTGTCCAGGAACCTCGGTTCCGCCCACCTCTCTAAACTGTCGGGAAGGAAAATCCCCGAACGCGCTACAACGGGCATCAGACACTCGGAACTGATGCCCGGAAGAGCTCGGGGCGGGGCGCCCTGGAGGCGGCCCCCCCAACGCCGGCACAAAGGCCTAGCGCGAACGCTGGGCCGCCCCCCGGGAGCGCAGGCTGGCCGAGGGGCGGGCCAGCCCGCGAGCACGCGCGCTCCCATTTTCCCGTCCGCCTTGGCCCCGCAGTGGGGGCCGCCATCTTGTACCTTTGGCCAGCTACCCCGTCAAGAAAGACACCTGGAGACTCCCTGGCAGCTATCTTTTACGAGAAGCTTGCGCTGCGATCACTGCGCTCAGGTAACCGCGCTTCCCTGAACCAGGAAAGCCTCTCAGCGTTCCTTACCACCACAGAGGGAGCAGCCATCTTGTACGGCAGACCCCTCCATTTCCGGGACCGGCCTGCCAACGTAACGACGAAGGTGAGAGCCAACATAGGCGACTCTCGCGCCCTCTGGCGGCGGGGCCGGAGCAGCGACGCCAGCGTCGGCGTGCTGGGGATTCTGCTTCCGGGTCTGCTCGGGCGGGGCCTTGACGTCACCCGGTCCCCGGCTGTGAACGTCGAGCCGCGGCGAGGCGGGGTGGAGTCTGAACCAGCGCTGTGAGCGATAGGGGCGTGGCGGGGCGGGGGGAATGGGAAGCTGGGGATGGAAAGTGCGTTTGTTAAAGGGCTTCTGCGTGGTCTGTTGGTTCCCTGCGTCGCCGGGTGAGGCGCGTATTATTGTTACTGTTTACAGGGGAGAAAACAGGCTCGCCCTCTCGGCCGTGCTGCTTAACCCAGGTAGACATAGCATTAGAGACCCGCTCTCGCCCGTTTCTTTAAACTGGAGTAACAGTATCTATTCTGGGCGATTGTTGCGGGGATTGAGTTTTCAGATTACAGTGCCAGGTTATTAATATTAGTTTATTCTCCATTGATAATAGTAATATAATAACAACAACTATGTGTCAGGCACATGTTATGTGTACTCAACCTACGACTCTATAAGGTAGGGGGTATCAACATTTCCATTTTACAAATGAGGACAGTGAGGAAAACAGAAGTAACTTGTCCAAGGCTACAGGATAGCCAACAGCAACTCCCAGGCAGGTTGGGGTGGGTGGCTCTGATCTCAACCGCTACACATTCTCTCTGGGAACAGGACCCTGTCAGAGTATCTGCTAAAAACGTGGTGGCCCAACAGGGACCAATCACCGGAGTTCTTGCAGCCTTGTTGTAAAGAGCAGTAGGACTTCTAAGGACAGGCTCTTTAGGGAGGGAAGAGAAGAGGATGGGAGGAAGAAGAGAAGGACTGGCCTCAGGAAGTACTAGAGGGAATGGACTGGAGAGGATAGAACACAATTTTTGTCCTGTTTGCACCAGAAGTGAAGAAATGGCTTTTAGCTTGCAGAACAGGAGGTGGGGATGATAGCAATAATAATAATTGCCGTGACACATTGAGCAGTTACCATATGTATCCTTAGAAGGTGCCGTAGGGGAGGACAACAAATCCTCTACCTTTGGGGTCCTTCTGGCGAGACTATGAATTAAGTTCACATGAGACAGAATAACAGGAGGAAATCAAACAAAGCTTTATAACATGGATACATAGAAGACACTCAGGCAAACAGAGCAACTTGCCAAAATGGCGGGAGGCTCTCATTTTAAATATAAATATTGTCAGCTACAAAGGAGGATGTTGAGGGTAGGGGCAGTCAGTCATGGGAGATACCAGAAAAGCACAGTAAATAAGAGTAAGGTTATTAAGCAGATTTAAGTCCTTGCCTCCTGCGTTAAGAGTTTCTAGAGATAAGGTCATCCCCCTTCTTCTTGGTACTGACAAATAAAAATGGCAAGCAATAGGATATATTGGAGTATATGAGGAAGCCATTTGGTATAAACCTAATTCGGCCTGACTTTGTTTTTTCCAAAAGGGCCTGACTGTGGCTATTGAGCACGCATTGTATATCTGCTTAGACATTTCCTATGGCCAGAACAAAGGCCCTTGAGATAAAGGTGCAACTTCTCCCATTAGCATTTCCTTAGGGATAAGCATTTTTCCTTAGGCTAGGAACTGATTGCTGCACTCACCTTTGACCACCCAGCTCACCTGTGACCACTCACCTGGAGACAACAGACTGCCACCCTGCTGTGTTCACTGAGACAGAAGACCTACCTGCTGTGTCCATCAATCGCTGTGCCGACAGAGCAGTCTTGCGACTATTGTAAAAGGGACATTTCAATCCTATGTGAAACATCCTCTCTGGGGGTATATAACCACTCTGTGCACCCCACTTCTTTGGTGCCCTTTCTTCCTTCGGGAAGAAAGGCCCCGGGTTATAATCCTAAAATTTAAGCTCAGAATAAACTCACCCAAATTTTCATTTATAGATTCGTTATGGATTATTTTCGTCGACAGTACAAAGGGAGATACCTCTACAGATGGAGATTTCCCTTACAAATGTAAATGTCTCTTACAAAGGGTAAATTCTACTTTTCAGAGCTTCTCCCATTTCTGCAGTTTTTAAAAGTAACCAGCCCAGGGCTGCCCGGTGGCGCAGCGGTTAAGTGTGCATGTTCTGCTTCGGCGGCCCCTGGGGTTCACCTGTTTGGATCCTGGGTGCGGACATGGCACCACTTGGCAAGCCATGCTGTGGTAGGCATCCCACATATAGAGGAAGGTGGGCACGGATGTCAGCTCAGGGCCAGTCTTCCTCAGCAAAAAGAGGAGGATTGGGGGCAGATGTTAGTTCAGGGTAATCTTCTTCTTCAAAAAAGTAACTAGCCCAAAATAATCCTCATGCCAAAGAGACACATTTTGAGGTGGCCAATTGTGATCCCCCACAGTATTAATCCAATTCCAGAAATGGAGGCTGAAGTTGAGAAAAGTAGGTCTCTTATTCTTGGCAATCTGTTTACTTAGCTATAAAATTGGGGTAAAAGGGATCCCTGTCCTGGCCCTAGCCAGGTTTTTAGTAAGAGAGAGAGTTTTGGTGGCCTACACCATCATTTGGTGTGGCTTTTGATGGGAAACTGTGTTGGCAAGGCTGGGGAAAACAGGCACTGTGATACCTACTGGTGGGAGTGTATAGTTGTATCATGTCTATTAACTTGGAATAATCCTTTGTATGAATCTTTTGATCAAGCATGTCAAGGCCTAGGAAATTATCTTACAGGTGTGCTCCCCCATGTGCTCAGACATATTACAAAGAGATACAAGCCAGCATTGTTTGAATAGCAAAAGTCTGGAAGCAACCTAATTGTTCATCAGTGGGGGACTGGTTTGGTTTTAAAGATATGACACATCTATGCAGCCCTTAAAAAGAGTAAAGCACTGCTATTATGGAATGAGCTCCAAGATTATCACATATAATTATGATTGTGTTTGGCTGCAAATAACTGAATACCCTTCTATAGTGGCTGAAACAGAACAGGATTAATCTACCTCATGCAATAAGTAGTCCAAGGAGGCCTGTGGGGCACAGTGTGCCATTAGGGATGCAGACTCTTTTACTTTTGTTTTTCAAAAATTTTAAACTTTTTTTTATTGTGAATCATAATATATATAAAAAGTGCATAAAATATAAATGGTCAACTTAATAAACTATTTTCATGTGATTATCTATGTAAACTCCACCTAAGTTAGGAAAGAGAATGTTGCCAGCATCCCAGAGCTCCCCCTTGTGCACCTTTACCATTCACAAGTCCCTTCCACCCCCCAGAGATAACCACTATCCTGACGTTTATGTTTAATACTTCCTTGCCTTTCTTTATAACAGTGGGTCTCAAAGTGTGGTCCCTGGATCAACCATATCAGCATTAACTGGGAACTTATTAGAAATGAAAATTCTCAGGCCCCACCCCAATTCTACTTAATGGGAAACCCTGGAATGGGGCCCAGCCATCTGGTTTTAATAAACGTTCCAGCTGATTCTGATGCATGCTCAAATATGAGAAGCATTGCTTCATAAAAGTGTGCATCTGCGAACAATACAGTATAGTTTCTCTGGGTGTGTTTGACTTTATATGAATACATAATATCATATCATGTATTCCTTCATATCTGCTTCTCTTACCCAATATTAGTCTTTTGTCTTCATACTGAAACATAGCACATTGAGAAAAGTGCCAAAATCCTAAGTGTGCAGTTTAGTGAATTACCGTAAGTTGAACTCACGTGTGTAACCACCGCTCATCAGGAAAAAGATCATTCCTAGCCGCCTGCAGTCTGCTTGCTTCGTCCCAGTCCTGCTCTCTCTCTCTCTCCTTCCCACAGGCAAACCCTACCTTCTTTTAAAAATACTTGCATATGCCAAGGTTTGAAGCACCAGTTGGGGTGGTGAAAACAGATTTTATTCAGTAACTACTGACAGTAGGGGAAAGAGCTGAGCTCTGTTCCTATTTGTGCTGAGATGACTGGGAGTTTTAGAGGCAGAAAGTAGGGAAGGGGAGAGAGTGGGGCTCACGTGGAAAATTATAAAGTGTAGGGCAGTGTAAAGGTGACTAGGCCAGCTTTGATTGCTAGCTGGCGGTCATCAAAGTCAGGTTTCTCTCTTCTCACAGAGACAGGGCCTGAGAGGCCCTGTCCTTTCTGATGACTGCATCTCAAAGGAATGGCTCTCAGATCCTTGAGAAAGACACTCCTGAGTTTTAGGAGATACATCTCAAAGGGACAGGGGAAAGATTCCTAATTATACGCCCTTTTTAGTCAATGCTCTAAGAAAGGGAAGTCAGGTGTTGGCGAGAATAGTGAGTTCTCCTGGCAGCGTTGAGCCTTCTCAGGCAGGCATTTTAACGGGGGCCCATGGCCTCATGCTGCTAGAAGTCATGCTAGAGTTTGATTGTCTCTTGGCGCTGAGGTTTGGATGGAGTTGTTAGGTGCCTGAAGTTCTGCAGTTCTCAAAAGATAGCCCCTGGAGAAAGTGAAACCAGCCATGAAGAGGACAGCGTAGGCATCATGCTTGAAGATCTTGTGCTGCTTGCAGGCTTGTGCCACGTCACGGTGTACGGCAGGGTCTGCGGCAGGAAGACCACTTGGGTCAGCAGCGAGCCAGCAGCCAGTGGCTGGCCCTCCTGGGCCAGTTGCACACAGCTATGGGGCTGTGGCCCAGCCAGTCAGACATGTTAAAAGTCAACAAATAGGGGGCCAGGCCAGTGGTGCAGCGGTTAAGTTCGCACATTCTGCTTCGGTGCCCCAAGTTCGCTGGTTTGGATCCTGGGTATGGATCTATGCACCACTTGTCAAGCCATGCTGTGGCAGGCATCCCACATATAAAGTAGAGGAAGACGGGCACGGATGTTTGCTCAGGGCCAGTCTTCCTCAATAATAAAAAGGGAGACTAGGCGGCAGATGTTAGCTCAG